ATTCTGCCTTTAGAATTTTCTTATAGTATTTCTAAATACAAATGCACTTTAGAGAGAACATGTTAGAGAAAACAGACAATTTAATAGAACATTATAACAAATATGAATATAGTTGCGATGTTATAAAAAGGGACATTGTGGTTTATTATTATTTAACAGAAAATGCTTAAAGTATGCCAATCACTACTATTATTATTATTAGCAATATTGATAACTATTAATAACTATGTATTAATATTTATTAAGCCTGTATACCAAACACATTCAGTACATCTAGCAAACTATTAATGTAATACAAGGTTCAGACACAAGAGGGGAACACGAGCACAGAGAATCTAAATAAAAACATGAAAGAAATGTCATAACAGTTTCAATTGCCTTTTGTTTGTTTTTTTTTTATTGCAAAAAACATATACAATAAGGCAATACAAGATCGTAAGAAGATCCTCAAGAACAGAGCACCAATCCAAATGAAAAAAAAAAAACATGAAGAGAGAAAAGAAAGAAAGAAAAAGAATGACACAATAGGGTCTACTAATAATTTAAATTTCTGCAATAAACCAAACAGTCTCCTTCCAGATTTACATTTGAACATTCTTACAGATTTACAGTACATCCAAAATTCCTTTTGAAAAACAAAAAACAATGGCTTTGTTTTAAGGCACTTACATTTATGAATATAACATTTACCCAAAATGAAAATATTATTCAGTACAACTTGAGTATGTACATTTTCCGTTATTAGACCAAAAATTATATAATTTTTAGAACATTGAGAAGACAGCTTCATTGAAACTTTAAGCCACTTGACTGTATCAGACCAAAAGGCTCTACTGAATGAACAGTCAAAGAATAAATATACAGTCGTTTCAATGTCAGCATCACAAAAGGTACAATTATTGTGATCAATATTAAATCTATATCTAAGAAACTCTAAAGATGGGTAGATATCATTAAAAATTTTAAAGTGTACTTCCTTGGCTTTGGGGGGCAAGGGAAAGGAGAGATAACATGGTTCTTAATTTAAAAATAGAGCTCTTGGGAAAAAGATAATTCACGTTATTTCGACTAGCTTGATTTGGAAATTTATCTTGGGTCAATAAAGTCCTTATTAATTTATTTAATTTATTATTAATTTATGAAAGTTCCATTCATACAGTCAAAGTCTGTGGCCTGCAACCCCCCTTCTTTGTAATCCTTCACTAGTGTCCCTGTTTTAACATAATGAACTTTTCTCTTCCAAATGTAATTAAAATTCATCTGATTAATTAACTTAATTTTCTTATTAGAAATGGGAAGGGATCCTGCAGGATAAATGCATCTAGACAGAGATTCCACTTTTGTCAATAAAATTCTTCTAAATATAAAAATGTCTCTCTGCATCCATCTGTCCATTCTGGCCTTACATTCATCAATTCTATTAGATATATTAAGTGATTCACTTAGTTCTTTATCTTTAGTAAGTAGAATACCAAGATATTTGATCCTAGATTTAACTGGTACATTGAAAGAATCTCAGCTCACACAAATTTGCAATGTCATTATTTCACATTTACTTAAATTAAGACATAAGCCCGAGGCACTAGAAAAGTTATTAATAATTTGGAGAGTTTTTGGAACCTGATCAGTGTAGCGTCTAGCTCAACCAGACACACAAATTTTTTAGTTATATTTAACAAATACTCTGTAACACCCCTCAGTCAACAAACCAACTACGAGGGTCTATGGACCCTTCCCTCGAAATGCATCTAGAACAGGCCTCTGGTTCCATGGCAACCAATGCTGATATCACTGGTTTTATTGCCCAAAGGAATGCGGGCAGAGAAACTCACAATTCATTTACCCTTAAGAAAGACACACAATGCCCATAAAAATGGACTCTTCTCTAATTAATTCATAGAAAAACCTTTCTGTGAATGAACACACATCTCCTCAGGACATTGTGTATACCATTACTGTGCTTGAATATTGTCCTTTTGAATTGTATACTGTTTTGTGTGTGTTAATATAACCCCACCGATACCATGTTTGGTCTCTTTGAATTTGTCTTCTGATGATCTAAATGAGCGTTTATATTATATGTGGGTACATAGGCAATATATTAGTGTTCTAAGAGTCTTTAGTATTGTATGTATTATACATGGTAATGCAAATTACCATGCTCTCACACAAAGTGTCATGAAACTCCCCAGTATTTCCAATAGTGCTGGGCGGTATACCAGTTCATACCGAATACTGGTGTTTATTTTTATGATATGTTATGATATGAATTTTTAAAATACCTCAATAACGGTGAATGTCGCTTAAACAATGTTTGGAACGCGACACTGTTTGAAAGGGGTCACTTTTCACTGTTGCACTGTGGTGAGGGAACAGCTGTATGTGTTACTAAGCGTGAAAGTTCAGAAACTGAAGCTGTAGAACTAATAGAACGTGATGACACAGAAGAACTCATCCACAATATCCACACTGACTGCCACAAATATCCAGCGCCCGCTGCCATCAGCTCCCACGTCTCACACACACGTGCGCAACTTTAGCACTAGATTTAGCAACTTTCAGACCCTTTTACGTGAGGTCTGAGTTTCCCGGAGAAGTGTCGCCTCTCTCGGCGTCTGTTCTGCGCAGCCGACTGCTCAATAAATGAGGACAAAACAGCGTTTCCAAGCACCTGTCGCTTACTGATTGTTTGGAATTATAAATATGAGCGTAGTTCGTCTGTTAATATCACATGCACTTTTTTGTTTGTTGTTAGTCTGTCTTGTATCACACTTGAGGTTGTTCATTGTTTGCTAATAACTGGAGTCCATAATGATGCAGATTTATGTTACATGCTCTGTGTAGTATTGTACAGTAAGAAAGTTATTTTCCTTAACCAGGAAATTAACGTTCTTAGAATTGACAGACAGTTGACACTGAGAGGTCAAGTAAATACTTACAGCGGATCTAAATATTTATAATTAATTATAACTAGATATAATTAATTATTCATATTTCCCCTTTGAGCTGATTCGCTACATTATGTACCTTTATTATGCACATAAATGGACCATGGTGAACATATTTAGACAGGTTTAGAACCCTGTTTTAGGCAATATTGAATATAACTTTAAAAAAAAACTCCAGTACAAATGTTACTGCTGCTCGTCAATGGCAGCTGTCACAGTTGCTAGGTGACAAGAACAGTCCTCAGTAGACCGGCTCATTTAACAACGCTCAGTCCAAACTTTGCGGCGTTTGAAGGATGCAGCCTTTAAATTGTTACACAGCTATTGGATATGCTGACCAATATTAAGAACTACAGAAACGAATTTCTGATAATCAAATGTTGCCGCACCGATGACAACTGCCAAGTTTGTTGCAAAGTGCAGAGAGAGAAAAAACATTAACATAAAAGTGAAAGTAAGTAAAAAAAAATTTATACCTTTTTCATTCATGCGTTATGATGTACTTTTGTTCCAAAGTTGAATTAAGAGAATCAGCTGTAATGTCAGTCATGTGTTACATTTAAATTTAAGTTTACATTACATTTACATTTAGTCATTCAGCAGACCCTTTTATCCAAAGCAACTTACAAATGAGGACAAATAATTATTTTAAATAATAATAATAAAGTGCATGGAATATAAATAGAAGAGAGAAAGAGGGTCAATTATTATTATTTTTTTTATTATTTTTAAATTGATAAAAAGAAAACAAGTAGATAGAAAAAATAGAGAATGCTAGTATTAGAGGGCCAATATTTTATTAAATTTTTTTTATAAAAAAAGAAAAAGAATAGAGAATGCTAGTGTTTGAGGGTCAAGTGTAGATGGAAGAGATGTATGTATCTTTAGCCATTTCTTGAAGACGTCTAAAGACTTCCACCAGCAGGGAACAGTAAAGGTAAAAGTCTGAGAGAGTGATTTTGTACCTTTTTGTGACGACACTATAATGTGGCGTTTGCTTGTAGAATGCAAGCTTCTGGAGGGCACATAAGTCTGAAGTAGTGAATTTAGGTAAAGGGGTGCAGAGCCAGTGATGGTTTTGTAGGCAAACATCAATGCCTTCAATTTTATGCTATTTTTAGGCTATTGGTAGCCAGTGCAAATTAATGAAGTTTCCATTACTGTTCGCTGCGCGCCTTTAGCAAATCCTGACAGTATTCAGGCGCACACTGTCATTAAATCTGCCGATTGTTTTCTTATTCACACCAGATTTGAATTTCTTATTTAAGCAAATTGCATGTTTTTCACACGTGTGCAAAAGTTTTCTATAATTGCCATAATAAATGCACATGGCTTGCTGATTAGATCTGATGAGTTGATTCTTTGTGAAATTGTCATACTTTTAACTTCCTTGCATCATGTGAGCCATTACGTGAAAAATTATGATCCATTAAAATATCAAAATCTGTCAGACATAGATGCATATTCCTTTAATATCTATGACATTAAATGTTTGTGCTGTCTACTAAATTGGAAAATTACTTACCATGTTAATAAAACTGAAATACATACAAATGTGTGTACTACAGTTTTGAAGCATGAATTAAAGTTGACCTATTATGCCCCTTTCTACAATATGTAATATAAATCTCCCCAGAATGAGTCTGTGAAGTTTCAGCTCAAAATACCCCACATATCAATTATTATATCATTTTGAAAATGCCTATTTTGACAGGAAGCAAAAACAAGCTGTTTTTGTGCCTGTATCTTTAAATGCAAATGAGCCGCTGCTCCCCACTCCCTTTTCCACAATAGGGCTGTGCCTTTACAGCTCATATGTTATATGTAAAAAAAAAAAAACAACAACCTCTGTTTGGTTTTGATTATCATGTCTATCACACTGAAATCAAGCGTTTTAATATTAGTTTAAACTTCTGTTTTCTGAGCACACAATTCCGAAGCACACGCACAGAAAGTGGAGGTCCTTTTGCACTTGCATCTCCTCCTGTTTGAGCCCTTTTTCAGTTGCTGATTCTCATGCTCTTGAAACTGCTTCTCCTTCTGTTTGAGCACCTTTTGCAGCTGCTCCTTCCTTGTGTTTGAGCTCTTTTGTCAGTTGCTGATTCTCCTCTTGATTTTGCAGCGATTCCATCTGTTTGAGCTCATTTTAGTGTTGTTGATTTTCCTGCCTTTGCTTTTGCTGCCGCTTCTCCCTTCTGTTTGAGGCCATTTGTCAGTTGCTGTGTCTCCTGCTTTTGCAGCTGCTCCCCCCTCTGATTGAGCTCACTTGTGAGTTGAAGTGTGTCCTGCTTTTGCAGCTGCTTTTACTTCTGTTTGAGCTCCTTTTCCAGTTGCTGATTCTCCTCCTGTTGCTTTTGCAGCTGCTCCTTTTGTTTGAGCTTCTTTTCCAGTTTCTGATTCTCCTCCTCTTGCTTTTGCAGTTGCTCCTCCTGTCTGAGCTCCTTTTCCAGTTGCTGATTCTCCTCCTGTTGCTTTTGCAGCTGCTCCTTTTGTTTGAGCTTCTTTTCCAGTTTCTGATTCTCCTCCTCTTGCTTTTGCAGTTGCTCCTCCTGTCTGAGCTCCTTTTCCAGTTGCTGATTCTCCTCCTGTTGCTTTTGCAGCTGCTCCTTTTGTTTGAGCTTCTTTTCCAGTTTCTGATTCTCCTCCTCTTGCTTTTGCAGTTGCTCCTCCTGTCTGAGCTCCTTTTCCAGTTGCTGATTCTCCTCCTGTTGCTTTTGCAGCTGCTCCTTTTGTTTGAGCTTCTTTTCCAGTTTCTGATTCTCCTCCTCTTGCTTTTGCAGTTGCTCCTCCTGTCTGAGCTCCTTTTCCAGTTGCTGATTCTCCTCCTGTTGCTTTTGCAGCTGCTCCTTTTGTTTGAGCTTCTTTTCCAGTTTCTGATTCTCCTCCTCTTGCTTTTGCAGTTGCTCCTCCTGTCTGAGCTCCTTTTCCAGTTGCTGATTCTCCTCCTGTTGCTTTTGCAGCTGCTCCTTTTGTTTGAGCTTCTTTTCCAGTTTCTGAATTTCCTCCTGTTGCTTTTGCAGCTGCTCTTTCTATTTGAGCTCCTTTTCCAGTTTCTGATTCTCCTCCTCTTGCTTTTGCTGCTGCTCCTTCTATTTGAGCTCCTTTTCCAGTTGCTGTCTCCTGCTTTTGCAGTTGCTCCTCCTTCTGTTTGAGCTCCTTCTCCAGTTTCTGATTCTCCTCCTCTTGCTTTTGTTGCTGCTCCTCCTTTTGTTTGAGCTTCTTTTCCAGTTTGTGATTCTCCTCCTCTTGCTTTTGCTGCTGCTCCTCCTTTTGCTTGAGCTTCTTTTCCAGTTTCTGATTCTCCACCTCTTGCTTTTGCAGCTGCTCCTCCTTCTGTTTGAGCTCCTTTTGCAACTGCACTTCCTTCTGTTTGAGCTCATTTGTCAGTTGCTGTTTCTCCTCCTCTTGCTTTTGCAGCTGCTCCTCCTTCTGTTTGAGCTCCTTTTGCAACTGCACTTCCTTCTGTTTGAGCTCATTTGTCAGTTGCTGTGTTTCCTCTTGCTTCTGCAGCTGCTCCTCCTTCTGTTTGAGCTCATTTGTCAGTTGCTGTTTCTCCTCCTCTTGCTTTTGCAGCTGCTCCTCCTTATGTTTGAGCTCATTTGTCAGTTGCTGTTTCTCCTCCTCTTGCTTTTGCAGCTGCTCCTCCTTATGTTTGAGCTCATTTGTCAGTTGCTGTTTCTCCTCCTCTTGCTTTTGCAGCTGCTCCTCCTTCTGTTTGAGCTCATTTGTCAGTTGCTGATTCTCCTCCTCACACTTTTGCAACTCCTGTTTCACATGCCATGTTTCTAGTAATATACCTCCAATCAATGCAATAGCACACACAGTATATGCAAACTTTCTCAGGTTAATTTTGTCCTTCCCTGTTATTTCTGTTTTAGTTGTTTTAAACATATCAGGTTTGTAATGCTTTATTCCATGTTCCCTCATTATTCCATTGATCTTTTGAAGCAGTTTTGTAACTTGTTGATTGTTTCTATCTTCATTGTTAAACGAATGGTATTTGCCACCACAACTATCAACTAATTTTGGTAAATAGTGGCTTTTCCTGATGTACGCCTCTAAAGATTTACCCTTCAGCAGATCAGTGTGAGTAAACAGAATCATGGTATGAATCAAAGCCTCTTTTCCAAAGTTCTCCTGAATCCATTGCACTGAGTTCCTCTCTTCTTCTGTGAATCTAACCCCCAGTTTGATCACCAGCAGGAACACATGAGGACCAGGAGCAGACATCTCTACACACCTCTCTATTTCAGCCTTTACTTGCTCTTTTGTGATAGATGCATTGAATAGTCCTGGAGTGTCAAATACAACAATGTTCTTCCCATCCACATATCCTTCCTGTTTCTCACATATTTTACTGGTCTCTTTAAATGCATTTTTGCCCAAGATTGTGTTTCCTGTTGCAGTTTTTCCTGCCCCAGTTTTACCCAGTAGAATAATCCTTAGATCACCTTACAAAAAAAAAAACATTAAAATCAGACACAAACAAATATTCAGTCATTTAAGAATATATAGAATTTTTCAGTTAAATGACTGGAGGAAAACAAAACTAACAAAACGTTTTTTTTACATGATTTTATATATTGCATCTTAATCCTCTCTTGCCTAATGTATTAACACTGAGTTGTCCTTTCTACAGTGATATAAAGCTTAACCAAAATATTCATAACAAAATTTTTTTTTTTAAATTCATTTTGCTCTCATCTGTATCAGATGGGGCTGGTGGCCATCCATCCGACCACCAGAGAAGGAACCCTCTACTGAATACTGACTGTTTGCTTTTTCTTTGGTTACTTCCTGTTTGACACCATATTTAAACCATGCTGGTTTAGTTTCTCACTGCGAAGTATTGCCAGTTTCACTGCCTTACCAAGCGTTCTTTTCCCATTGTGTTTTGCTCTATTGTTATGACCATTGTGCTTGCCTTTTGACCACCGCCTTTTGGATTATTGTTTTTGCCTTGTTGGACTGATTTCCCCTGTTTGATATACGCCTGTCCTCACGACTACAGAACTGCCTTGTGATTTGGATTTGTTGCTGAGTGTTAGTGAACTTCCCACATTTGGATCTAACACTGCATCCATGTCGTCGCCTATGGCTCCCTCACAGAATAATTCGTCAAACATCGATCCAGCGGAAGTTTCTCAGTTACAAGCGGCATTCGCCTATCAGAGTGAAATGCTATCGGGATATCAGGAACAACTGATGCATCTGAGAAATGCTAACAACAGCCTTACTCAATACATCTGCTCTCTTCCCGCTCCTCAAAGCTCTCTGGTAAGACTCGCTTTACCTGACAAGTTTGATGGCTCACCAGAACTATGTCGAGGGTTCATTTGCCAATGCAAGATCTTTTTCGTTAGTCAACCTGAGACTTATAATCAAGATTCCAAGAAATGCCTAATATCATTGTTGACTGGACGAGCTTTAGATTGGACATTAGGCTTGCCACGATAGACATGTTTTCGGTTATACCGGTTATGCCGCAACACCGGTTATGTCATTTGCCTACCGCGGCACCGCACCCCACCATCGCTTAGATTTTTTTATAGTAACAAAAATAATTGAGCCTAGTTCCGTTAGAGGACAGACACATTTAAAAACTAAACACTCAATGCAGCGTGCCGAACCGTGCATGAACAACAGTGCACCACAGAGCAGGAGCCAGATTTGATTTATCACGTGAGGAGAGTGAGTCGAGCTGACAGACAAGAGTGAGGTGAGAAAGACAAGACGATGGCAGAAGATTGTTTAGAAAGGAAATGCAAAGGCGCCTGTTTGGCAATATTTTAGATTTTGAAAAGCCTATTGACTGGAAGTTTTTTTTTAAACATTTGTTTCTTATTTATTTGGTTCCACAGTGTTTGCTGATTACTTTATTTAAACTTTGTGTATTTTATTTATTTTATTTTACATCAAGGTATATATGCCGTGCCTCCAATCTTTCTTTTTCGTTTTGCTAATAAACGTTCTATGTTTCTTATTTATTTGGTTCCACAGTGTTTGCTGATTACTTTATTTAAACTTTGTGTATTTTATTTATTTTATTTTACATCAAGGTATATATGCCGTGCCTCCAATCTTTCTTTTTCGTTTTGCTAATAAACGTTCTATGTTTCTTATTTATTTGGTTCCACAGTGTTTGCTGATTACTTTATTTAAACTTTGTGTATTTTATTTATTTTATTTTACATCAAGGTATATATGCCGTGCCTCCAATCTTTCTTTTTCGTTTTGCTAATAAACGTTCTATGTTTCTTATTTATTTGGTTCCACAGTGTTTGCTGATTTTCAGTTTTATATACCTACTTAAACTTTGCGTAGCCTAAGTAGTTTATTTTATTAGGCATACATGGTGTATTTTTATTCGTTTTGTTAACAAAAGTTCTGAGTTTGATGTTGTTGTTGCTTGAATCGAATCAACGCCGAATTGCAGCTAATTTGAAAGTGAAAGTAAAATGCGCACGGCACTTTTACAAGCCATTTGAAAGCGAAGAAAAGAGGGAAACTCAAATGAACTAACCCCCCCCACCGGGTGATACCGGTATTACCGGTATTACCGGTGTTGTCACACGTCGATTAACCGGTGGGAAAATGTCCTCACCGTCACAATCCTATTGGGCATCTGCTATCTGGGAGAGAGTGACGTACGCATACAATCTTCATTCGAGCATTTCATTTCCCAACTCCACAAAGTTTTTGAATATCCTGAGGGGGGACAGGATATTTCTGATCAATTAATGGATCTCAAGCAGGGAAATCACACTGCGGCTGACTATGGGATTGAATTCAGAATGCTTGCCGCTCAAAGCGGGTGGAACGAGATTGTCCTCAAGGCTGTATTCAGGAGAGGACTTGATGTGAAATTACAAGCGGAGGTGGCATGTAAGGCTGTGGATTTTTCCTTGAATGAGTTAATCACTCTGACCATTAATATTGATAATCTGATGTGCAATGCCCCTTGCTTACGCAGATCTGTGTCTGCCAGCTATGAACAAGCCCAGACACGTTCTGACTCTCCTGAACCGATTCAGTTTGCTTCGACTCGCATATCCTCCGAGGAAAGAAATCGGCGTCAGCAAGAGAACCTGTGCTCTTACTCTGGAGGGGAGAATCACAATAATGCCATCTGCCCACACAAGACCAAGAGAATCCCTCCAACTCATCACAGTGTGAGTACAGTCAAACTTCTTTCTCCTTCACGACCCAGTTTTCTTCTGGAATATGAACTCACCTATGATACTGCTGTTCAATGCAGTTTCAGCATTAGTGGATTCTGGATCTGCATTTAATATCATCAACCAAGAATTGACTGACAAACTCAAGATCCCCACATCTCCATGTGTACCTGCTATCAACATAACAGCCATAGACAACGGACCCATTGGCTCTGGAATTACTGCTACAACTCTACCCGTTACTCTTCATATTGGATTGGATTGTTCCAGAAAGAAACCATCACCCTTCTATGTGGTCCCATCATGCAAGTTCCAGGTCATTCTGGGCCACACATGGCTAGCGATTCACGATCCCATCATTACTTGAAACCAAGGTGAACTTGCTCATTGGTCAACATATTGTTAAAACAACTGCCTAACAAACACCCTGTCATGTCCGTCTCTCAACCAGCATAGAGAGCCCCAAAACCAGAACCCAAACTAGTCTACCAACTGTTTATGCCGAATTCGTTGAGGTGTTCAGCAAAGCCAAAGCCACATAACTACCTCCACATCGACCCTGGGACTTGCGCGATTGATCTTTTACCCAACATGTACCCTCCTAAGAATAAAGGATACCCTCTGAGACCCAGGCCATGGAAACGTACATCGAAGAAGCCCTTGCTTCAGGTTACATTTGGCCTTCCACATTACCTGCCGCTGCTGGATTCTTTTTTGTCGAAAAACTATTGGGGATTGAACAATGTCACGGTCAAGTACAGATATCCTTTACCATTAGTTCCATCTGCCTTGGAGCAGCTACGAGAAGCCAGAGTTTACTCCAAGCTCGACCTCAGGAGTGCTTATAACTTAACTCGTATCCGAGAGGGAGATGAATGGAAAACCGCCTTCCTAACCACTAGAGGGCACTATGAATATCTTGTAATGCCGTATAGGCTTGCCAACTCACCAGCTGTTTTCCAGTCCTTTATCAATGAAATCTTCCGTGACCTGAACAAGCGTGTCGTCGCCTATATTGACGACATACTAATCTACTCTCCCAACCTGGAACAACACATCAAGGATGTCAAGACCGTTCTGTCACACCTGCAACAACATCAACTGTATACCAAACTAGAGAAATGTGAATTCCACATTCATAAAACAACATTCCTAGGATACATTGTCAGCCACTAAGGAGTTGAAATTGACAATTCAAAGGTTCAAGCAGACACAGAATGTCCTCTTAACAAAATAGTAATTTGCCAACTTTTACCGCCGATTCATCTGCAACTACAGTTTGATCTTAGCCCCCTAACTTCGTTACTAAAAGGCAAACCCACGAAACTCATGTGGAGTCCAGAGACAGTCAAGTTGTGGAAGTCGTGGCCTAATGGTTAGAGAGTCGGACTCGTAACCCAAAAGTTGCGGGTTCGAGTCTCGTACCGGCAGGGATTGTAGGTGGCGGGAGTGAATGTACAGCGCTCTCTCCCACCTTCAATAACACGGCTGAGGTGCCCTTGAGCAAGGCACCAAACCCCCAGCAAAAATGGCTGCCCACTGCTCCGGGTGTGTGATCACTGTGTGTGTGTGTGTTCACTGCTGTGTGTGCGCACTTTGGATAGGATAAATGCAGAGCACTAATTCGGAGTATGGGTCGCCACATGTCACGTCACTTTCAAAGCTTTTGAAAATCTCAAGACCAGTTTTACCACAGCCCCCATTCTAAAACATCCAGATTTCTAACTACCCTTCGTGGTGGAAGTGGATGCCTCAGACTGTGGTATAGGTGCGGTACTCTCACAATGACATGGCAGTCCCGGCAAGCTACATCCATGTGCCTTCTTCTCGCGCAAACTGACAGCTGCAGAAAGGAATTATGATATGGGCAATAAAGAGCTTCTCTCAATGAAGGCAGCATTAGAGGAGTGGTGTCATTGGCTTGAGGGAGCCGTTCATCCATTATTTTATCAATTTTTATCCATAGATTTTATTACAGACTTACCTAACTCCAACGTTTACGCAGCCATCCTAGTAATTGTTGATCGCTTTTTGAAGGCTTGCAGACTGGTACCACTAAAGGGTCTACCCACTGCCATAATCTACCTTCTACTCTTAATCTACTTCCAGGGTGTGGCAGACTTTCTGTAAACAGCTGGACATCAATGTCAGTCTGACCTCTGGATATCATCCCGAGTAAAATGGTCAAGTAGAAAGATTGAATCAAGAAATTGGACGCTACCTCAGGTCTTATTGCAGTCAAGAACAGGACAAATGGAACAACTTCCTCCCATGGGCAGAACGCTCAGAACTCCCTCACCCATTCATCCACAGGTCTAACCCCTTTCCAGTGTGTTCTAGGCTACCAACCCCCTATGTTTCCTTGGTCAGGAGAACCTTCCATGGTGCCGTCGGTGGATGACTAGATCAAGCACAGCGAATGGGTGTGGGACAGCGCTCATGTGAGGCTTCAGAGAGCAGTAAGATCCTTCTTCTTTGGTTACTTCCTGTTTGACACCATACTTAAACCATGCTGGTTTAGTTTCTCACTGCAAAGTATTGCCAATTTCAATGCCTTACCAAGCATTCTTTTCCCATTGTGTTTTGCTCTATTGTTATGACCATTGTGGTTGTCTTTTGGATTACTGTTTTTGCCTTGTTTGCCCTGTTGGACTGATTTCCCGATTGTTTGATATACGCCTGTCTTCTCGACTACGGAACTGCCTTGTGATTTGGATTTGTTGCTGAGTGTTAATAAACTTCCCGCATTTCGATCTAACACTGCCTCCATGTCGTCGCCTATGGCTCCCTCACATCATCATTTTATTAAAATTGTGGCTAAAATCAATTTTGATCAACTTTTACTGGTTTGTGCTTTAAGTTTCCTGTATTATTGTAAAAATGTGTTTCTTTATATAGGACTCCCAGACATTTTCTCTCAGTGGGCTGAAAACACTGATCTGATCTTACACATTTGGTTTGTAGCAAGCACATATGCAGTTATTACAATATATTGTACATGTATATGAATTGTGTTAGTTTACTTACAACTGTTGAAAAAAAAAATACAAATAATTTCTTGTTGATGCCAATTCCACCATCCCCACCCCAATCCAATTTGTGTGCTTGCTAAAGTATAATATCTGCTCAATATGTTGTTTATTTTTTATTCTGCATAT